GGAAAACATCGTGATGCAATCTGCACATATCTGAGAAGTTCAAATATATGTGTGACGTCAACCAACCCGCACTTGGCCAGCGTGGTTAACTATGGCCTAATCACCCTTAACTTAAGGTAGGCTCCGAGCCGCTCGGTGGGGACGTATAGCTGATGATGATTTCAATGATGAATTATAAGGGAAGATTATAGGCTATCTAAAATCACACAGTTGGTGAAAGCTCATGTCACATTTAGTAATTAATAATTAAATTTTTGGATGGTATTGTTTTGAAAAAAAAATTAAGGTTTTGCCAAATGTAAGTTTTTTAATATAGTGTATAGACAGCCTAATCATTCAGTCATTATGAATGTATGTGGCTTCACTAGGTCGTAATTTATCTGAACCGCTCAGTGAGCCGTGTTCGGCAGTAGAATTACTGGATTACGTGGGTCAGACATGTTGCGGTCAGCTTTATTAGTATCTAATGTGACTCGCGAAATTATGACTTTGGACTCTGCCGTAATAGACTTGAGCTGGGACTATAAAGTTTTGGTACAGGAAGTTGTCTTTTATTTTGTCCGAGAATGTTACAGCTGTGTAACACGAGATTTTTTTATTTTTTATTTTTAACAGAAAATGTTGTTATATAGAGATTTAATTAAATAATGTCAATTTAAATATTTTAATTTAGTAGTTTAATAGTTTTTGTGGCCATGAAATTTTGTACTCGAAATGTTGGTACCGATTTTGACGAGTGAGGTATGATTTTTAATTTTTATCAACACTGTGTTTACTATAATAAAAACTAACTAAACTAAAAACTTTCATGAACTAGATGTCGCTCGAAATTTTATCTGCACGAAATTAAAAAAAATAATTAGTAGTCTATGTGTTCGTTCAGATTATGTTCTACATGTATGCCAAATTTCAGATAAATCCTTATACTCGTTCTGGAGATATCTAACAAACGTCCATCCATCCATACATCAAAACATTCGCATTTATGACATTAGTGAAGTCAGATTGATAGGTCGATATGAATATATTGTACTAGGATATCAGAAATTATTTATATCGTAACTTATGTCTCAAACTTACTGTTGGAGCATGGACTCAATGAAAGCGTACACACGAGAGCGAGTCACAATATTTGCTGGTGCTTTCGAACTTCGTTGGTTTCTTTTACTTGGGAACTGAAATAATAAAAATTACAATTTTAACAAACATTTTTATAGTAAATGCCAAATGTTTGAATTAAAAAATTTTGTCGGTGTCTCAGGTTTTTGTCACGTAGTCGTTAGTTGTTCTTTTTCATAATAAATAATTCACTAGTAATTTAAGTATGCATGCAGTCTTAAAAAACTTTAAAAAAACTAAAAAAAAACACGTATGGGTATGTTCCCTTAACTGCGATTTTTTTTCGATATCACAGACATTCCAATTTTATTGTTATATAGATACAGAAATCTTTAACTTACTTCAATATCACCGAGTAATGGCTCGAAATACGTCGCATTTGCTACGTTGTAATAGTTTGCTTCGAAAAACCAAGCGACGCTCACGAGAGATCCAGCTTTTAAAGGGACGGACACGGTTGTGAACACCTAAAGAATAAATTGTCAGTAAGAAATTCGAACAGAAAAAGGTTATTTTCATAGTAAATGGATTTTTAAAATGCTTTAATTTATTGTATTAACCAATGATCGTTGCGTAATTAACGTCGTTATCCACAGGAAATACAATGATTGGTTTTTATTGTGTGTTATTTATATACTATCCGTCGACCGCGACTCCGTCCGCGCGGAATTAAAAAATACTTAATAAGAATCCTATGTGTTTTTCCAGACTATTCCAGACTTTCTACATCTGTGCTAAATTTGATCAATATTTGTTGAGCAATTCCCGAGGTACCTAACAAACATACATTCATCAAAATTTTCGCATTTATAATAGTGTTAGTAGTAATATTTTCTTGTCCATGAGTTTTGTAGATTTGTTTTTTAAAATTTAAATACAAAATGTATAATATTGCGTACTTACGCCCCATTGGGTATTTGGAGTGAAAAGCAAATAACGCCTTTGTCTCCCGCTCTCGTCGGCATTGTGACCGTTGACCGAAATATTCAACAGGCAAAAACTGGAAATCAATAACAAATTACATGACAATGCTTTTAGTTGTCTATCTGTTTATACAAACAACATTCTTTGTTTCAATATTATCGAATTTAGATATTTTGTATCGGAGAAATACTGGCTGAATTCGCGCATAGCAACACAGTCGTAGTAAATTAAAAAGTTAAGTAAAACGAATTATTTTCAGGCTACAAACCTGCTTTGGTATACTCAACACATACCACAAATGTTTTATTAAAATCTATCCAGTTGTTTAGTTACAGGGAACTAACAGAGAAACATTAATTATTGTTTTATTTTGGGGAGAACACACCCTGTATAGTCACAAAGTATGTTTCAAATGATATTTAAAAAAAAAAACACAAACATGATGACCTCATGAAGCTTTTTCTATGATCCGTTTCACTAAGCTTAATATTAATAACTGCTTGCGTTTATAATTTTACTTTTACATAATAAACGACTCACCGTGGGTTTCTAAGACCAAAGCTCCCGTTTAAATGTTATCTCTTTTTTGTCAAAGATACTGACAGAGATTAGGATATGTTTTTGATAGAGATTTTAGGCTCAGAAACCAACGGTAAATGCAATAATCTATTAAGTCACTGCAAATAATTTACTCTTAGTATGTTTTTGTATTAAAATATCTACGTACGAAATTAAGGAGTACGTTATCCGCATAATAAAAACCTTATTTTAAGAAAGCGACTGAACAACTTGAAATTTACCATGTGTATGTTTCTAGAAAATTGCTAAAGCTAAAGATCAACAAATAATCCGCAAATGAACATTAATCTGATCTAGCCCATACGTCAGTGGATTAAGGTTCATTTCAGTGTGGATATTGTGAAACTTAAAGCCAGAGTTAGGGATTTACAGACGTCAGTTAAAGTGTGAACATATTACGTGTGGATGACGGTCGGTATTAGACGTCAGTTTGAACAACAAATTTGCTCCGTCGTCTTACAAGACCATGTACAGACATTAAAATGTTCTGACTTATACATTTCTCCTTTTACTGTTTATTTTGATATCTTATAAGTCACGTCCTAAGTCATTTCTTTGTTTATATCTAAAATATTATATCTAAAATTCTCATGTCACTTTTTCGTTTCCATACTCCTCCGAAACGGCTTGACTGATTTTTATGAACTTTTATACGCATGTTCTCTAGGTGTGCGAATCGGTTAATATTTATTTTTCATACCGTATATACCGACGTATAATGGGCTGATGATGATGATGATGATAATGAATCCAATGGAAAGGTCGAATAAGAAGTACCTAATACCAAAAAGCATGTAAGAGCAGATATAGACGAACAAGCTTTCTATATCGTTCCGAATGAAAAGTCATAATCTCTACCTACCCCTAAGAGTGACAAGAATTAGGGTTACTTAGTATAAAAGTAATTTACAACTGTCTAGTATCGTACACTGTACGATCATTTTGTCACCGATTGGTCGTAGTTTACCAAACAAGTGCTAATTGACTGGCTAAGTTAACAGGACTACAAAACTTGTATCTAGGGCTCAGCGTGGATTGGACGCTTCGTTTGAATCGTGCTTTATTTGATTAAGGTCAGAGTAGATATTTGTATTGCTAATCTGGAAGTTGGGTCTTCACTCATTAAGTTACTTGTTTGAATGAGATTCGGTGCAGTAGCTTCTAATAAGCTTTAATAATAGTACTTTTACCCAGGATTTCTGATACCAAAATCTCTGTATAAAACTTTGACAAAACAGAGTAAAATAAAAAAATAAAAAATGGGTACTTTGGTCTTAGAAACCCAATGTAAATCTTTAATTGCGTTCACGTATTACTCTTATTGATCGTTATGTAATTAATTTGAAAAATTAAGATGCCCAATTGAGACCGCATACTTGAAATCAACTCCAAATGAGTTTAAGTTATGAGTAGCCTCAATGCAATTACCATACAATCTCCAAAAAATTGCTAGTATCAAACTTTTTCTTCCTTATAGTAATAGTCCAACATAAAATTACCTTCATTCAATTATTTAAATTGCTACTTATTTATAGCGTATGTTGAATAAAAAAAAATCCGATCTTGAACTACGTAGTTCAATTTTTCCAAACACTCGATTCAACGTAGACTCGACCGCATCAAAGGAAACCTCTTTCATTCTATCGCCAATTTATTGAAATGAAGGGTTTATAAACGATTCTGCGGTGGCATTATATTGTTGTTTGATATTTACGATGAAAAGCGCTCGGATAATTTCATATTAACATTTTGACCTTGAAAATCTCTCTCAAAAAAAATCTAACGATAATTAGTACTAGATTTATTTTTATTATTATTTAGTTAATTATTTCACTTACAAATTATTATATTCCCGTATTTTTATGGAACAAGATTATGTGTATTAAGAGGTAAAAAACTTAGCTACAAATAGAGGTCGAAGTTGTTCCGACAACAATAAAAATACTATTACTTGGTTCCTGAAATTGGTTAGGATGAAATAATAATAAGAAAGCATTTTATACAATGTATTATTAAATACATAAACAGATGTTAGGACATATATAAAATCCATGTTGCTAAGGAAAGAAAGATTCTAAATACCAAAGTGTTAAAGTTTTTCTATTTGACTTAGTTATAATTTAAACACAATAAATGATTAGCCAAAAATAAATAAATACGTATACAATATAAATATTTGTATAGAATTAAAACTGTTTACAGTAGGATAGTAAAATATCGAAGGTCGCGTTAGTTCAGGCCGTAACATAGAGGAACGAGCAACTAGGCCATTTTGTACAGCCCCAAATCGTTGGGAAAACATAACGGTTCATTAGCCAAGCCGAAGTCTCTAAGCAAACATTTCACATTTTATCTTACACCGTATTCACACATCGACGGCTCTGTACGTTTGGTACACGACGAGAAAAAAAATATCGATCGAATGATGTTGCTTGCGTTTATTTTGCTCAATTTACTATCAACGTTTGCCAAAGCAAATGTACGACAAAGGAGATATCTCGTTTATCCGGACGGTGGGCCAGCCCGTACTCAGGTATTCTATTACATTTTATTTTCTAAATGAATCGTTCATTTACATAGCGTAGTTGATTTTAGCTTAAGGAGATTATGTTTTCTTTGCACACGCCAACCGGCTTAACGAAGGCGTACTTTTTTGTCTCTTCGCGAATTTAAATTTCGATTTACGTTTTGGTAATTTTTTTTCGAGATTGATTTAATTTAAACTGTCTTTGTCTTCTTCTTTTAAATTAACGTTAAATTTTTGATCACTTATATGTTTTGCAAATGGTTTTTGCATTTTGTCATGTTGTAGTACCTTAGATGAGGTTTTCTTTAGTTATTTAATGTGGATTGTTTTATAACTTCCAGTTCATCATTGGTGTTGGTGTTCCTGTTGATTTGAAAGAAGCATCAGTGACCGTTGGCACTGTTATAAAGTTTCAATATGATTTACCAACAAACAGTTCTGAATACACGAGTAGAATCTATGGATTCGCCAACACTGTATCCAGAGATATGGATGGAGATGGCAAAGAAGACGATGATAAGGAAATAGATGTTAATCATAAAACAAATGAATTACTTGAGAATGATTACGACAATGATACTTTAGTTGATATAACTTTTGATGATAGAAGGAAAAGGTCAATTATGTTTGCTGAAGGCGGATCAGTAAATAGTATAGATGTATCGAAAACAAATGAAATTTCACTAGAAGAAGCTATAAGACGACAAGAAATGTTAGACGAGAAGCATAGAGATGAAGAGACTGAACCACAAAGAATGAATAGATGGGACTTCTATAAAATTATAGAGCATATGGCTGAAAGGTAATCTTAAAATATTATAAATGCTAAAGTTTAGATGATTGGATCTTTGTTAGAAGATACCTCTGTAACCGCTTAACGGAACTTGATGAAATTTAATACAAGATACAACAGAGCCTGAAAGAACACAGGATAAACTTAATAATAACATTGGTTACTTTTTTTTAAATTCCGCACTAACGAAGTAGCGGGTGACAGCTGGTTCAAATAGATTTTTTAATATGAGATTTGTCCATGATAGTAACATTGTAGAATTAAATTGATGAATGTATTGTAAATTCGAGTCACGTAAGCTTTGTCTTTGACTTTTTATTTGTTTAATATTTTAGATAATATTCGTCTTATCTTGTGAAATTTAATATTTAGTTTCACGAAATCGTCGTATAAAGTAGAATTTATTGCGTTGAGTTTTGATTTGTTTGTTTTGACTTATCTGTGATCAAGTTCGACAACTTCTTGACAAATTCGATCTTTGTGTTTGACTTTTTGTTTTTGTTTGTTGTGTGCGTTGTTCACAAAGTACCGTATTATAAGATAAATATTTATTGGAATTGTAAGAACGTTCTTTCATGGTTTTGGGAATTAGTCAACGAGTAATTTCCATCTAGGATGTCTTAGAACTTTCGAACTTCACTTTTGGTGAAGTTTACTAAAAAGTTAATGAATGAAATACGAATACAAATCGTTTTTCTTTTAGTAATAAATCTTACTAATATTATAAATGCGAATGTTTGGATGGATTGATGTTAGTTTCAAGGTATCTCAAGAAATTTGGCATAATATCTATGCCAAATTTCTGGAGCATAATCGGGAAGATCTCTTAGGCTACTGATTTAGTTCCATTAATTCCGTCCAAGCATAGACGCGGGCGACAGCTAGTGTTAAAGTAAGTATCAAGTCAGAGCTATAACTTTGTTATTATCTTAAACGCTGCATCATAATAACGTAAGATATTTCGCAGGTACGGCTATTCGGGTAGACCTTGTCTGCTCAGAACGATTTGCGAAGCGGCGGAGATTCCCTTTACACACGAAAATGGTTTGCTTGGAGAAATTGGCCATATAATATTCACGTAAGTATCTACATAGCTAACTGAGTACAAAGCTGAATTAAATTCTGAGTTTTGATATCTTGTATTTGTAGATGAAATAGAATTGTAAGAACTCAAATTTATAAGAAATGTAAACAAGTAGTTTTTTTAAATACTACACGACTTATTCATTGAGTTACAATATCTTTGAAGGGCTACCCTTTTTTGTATCTCGGGGGGAGGGGGGAATCTTAACAAAGATAGCCTGCTCTAGGTGTGAACAAGATTATGAAGGGCTTTATCTGTACTCAAACCTCCTCGGTAGCCATCCTCTAGTGACTGGCAAGGCTCTGAGACCACCGATGGAACGCACCGATGCTTGAAGGGCTGGCCTGGTACAATAAGTAGCCTCATATTGATATTATATTTTTCAGACCATCCACAACTAAAGATCCTATCTCCCACCACACGGATAATGAGTATCACGCTGCAGAACGATTGGGCAGAGAGGCGGAACAGAATTGCGAATCATTTTTTCCGGAATGCGAGAGTTCCGTTCTAGAAACATTTACTGAAATTGGAATGGATACTTTACATAAATTTGGCTTGATGTAAATAAACAATTTTAATACTTTTGTTTCTCTTCTACATTTAACAGTGGTAGAGCCTGCTTTAACATCTTCGCACGAATTGGCCAGGTTCGCCTGGTGAAATACCACCACCACACAGAAAACAGGCAGAAGTAATTCCGCGTTTCGTCTGATGAGTGTGCGTCCCGGAGGCCTAATTTAGTCCTCTTTCCCTTCCCACCCTTTTCTTATAAGGAAAGGATGGGAAGTGGAAGTGGACTTCCCGGATGAGAAGATGCATGGAAAGGGAAAATATTTTTTCTGTGCATCCTCTCCTCCGTCGATTAAAGGTAGGCAACGGATATGCAATTGCGTATGTCTATGGGCAACGGTCACTTCGCTATTTCAGCGATTTCAGTTGGCCGCTCGCTCGTTTGCCACCTTATGATATAAAAAAACATACTTTAAACATTGCTTGATGGATAAGGATAATTTCTATGTTCATATCATAAACCAATGTACCCTTGCCGTGTTATACAAGTCTATAAAACTAGCAATATAAAGTATAGATTGAATTAAACAGTGGTAGACGCCAGCGAAGTCTGTTGCACTAGTGATCCGACCGTTGAATTACTACGAACACACAGAAGACAGTTTTAAAGTGGAGGTAATTCTGTGTTTCGTGTAATGAGTATGCGTGCCGGAGACCTAATTTTAGTCCCCTTTTCTTCACACCATTTTCTTATAAGGAAAGAATGGGAAGGGAATGTGGTTTTGACATAGGAAATTTTTCTGTGCATACATCTGTAATTGTGGGTGTCTATGGGTAGTGATTGCTTTGCTATTGCGGTGAAATCAGGTGGCCGTTACCTCGTTTGCTACCTTTTATATAAAAGCGGAGAGTTTTAAATGTTATAGGTTTAAGACTATGTCATCAGGTATGTAGATATACTGAAATATGGCCTTAATTTTAGTCCTTTTAGTTCTTAAGATTTTATTATTTTATATACGAAATAAAGTGACTTTTCGATGAATGTGTAACATTTAAACTTAAAGACTATGAACTGGGTCAAAACGTACAATAATTTTTTGAAGTGGATGTTTAAATAGTTTTCACAGACATTACTTCAAGACATAATTTCTTCATAATATTCAAAGTTTCGTAGCAAAATTACTTTGTTTAAGATAAGTAGTTTAAGTATTATTCTGGATTGTAGAATTTTAATTTTGCCTAAATATTAGCATCGTGAGAAATGATTAAATTGTTGTAAATGTTTTTTTTTGTTATATTAAATTAAAGTTCAATTCAAGAAATAATAATAATCATCATCATCATCATCATCAGCTCATTATACTTCCCCACCGAGGGGCTCGGAGCTTACCCTAAGTTAAGGGTGACTAGGCCACAGTCAACCACGCTGGCCTAGTGCGGGTTGGTTGACTTCACACTTATCTTTAAATTTCTTCTCAAATATGTGCAGGTTGTACAATGTTTTCCATCACCGTAAGAACGTCGTATAAATGTACATATGTTAATCGGAAATCGAAAAACAATTTGGTACATTGTGGGATTCGAACAAAGAACCTGTAGATTGCAAGTCAAGTGCTTAACCGCTGAGTCACCGACGAGAAGCAATAGTTATACAAGAACAATTAACATTTGTTTTTTTTTTTAATTAAAATATTAGCAGATTTTTTGTAAATTTACTAATATTTCTTTTACCATTCCAACTAAGCTGTATGCTTGTTCTAGGATATGGTTTACAACAATAGTCGATTGGCGGGATTCGAACCCCTGACCTCATGATCGGAAATCTGTATCCTTAACCATTAGGCTACTGACGCTTCATTTTGATATTACTATGAAATGTTTTATTATTAAGATTAAAAATGTTCCAGGAAGGTATTCTCTTATAAATTGCTTTTGTCAATTTCCATTTTCCGACTGTCGTAATCTAATTTATTGCTGTTTACTTGGAAAATAAACTTTTGTAAAACTTAGATGACTTTTACGAGATTTTATATTTTTTATAACTAAATAAGAAGAGCTTATCTTGCCAGTTTGCTTAGCAATATTGTTAACTTCTTCTTCTTCTTGTCAGCCATGAGACGCCCACTGCTGGGCACAGGCCTCCCCCAAAGATCGCCACGATGACTGGTCTTGTGCCATCTGCATCCAGGACGCTCCCGTAACCTTGACCAGGTCATTACATTGTTAACTGGCAAGTTGCAATGGAGAAACCACTTCCTTGGTAGCAAGAATGACAAGACATGTAAGATTTTATACTTAGAGGTGGAAGAAAAAGACAAATATAAAAGAAGGCATAATAAAAGGTATTAAACGTATTTTTTTTATCATAAGCCTGACGAGTAATCGCTGAAATAGTGAAGTGACTGTTGCCCATAAAAATACAATTGGGAGCACAAAAAAGAATACCTTCCCATACATCCTCTAATCCGTAAATATCGGGAATCGAACCTAGGACCTGCAGATTGCAAGTCAAGTGCTTAACCCCTGAGCCTCTGACGCTCTGTATAGCTGTCACCGCGACTCCGTCTGTGTGGAATTAAAAAAAAAAACTTAATGATTAGCTCATATGTTCTTCCACGCTATGTTTTACAACGGTGCCCGGAACAGTGGTAGAGCCCACTTTAACATCTTCGCACGAATCGGCCCGGTTCGCCCGGTGAAATACCACGACCACACAGAAGACAGGCGTGAAGTGGAAGCAATTCCGCGTTTGGTCTGATGAGTGTGCGTCCCGGAGGCCTTTTTTAGTCCTCTTTCCCTCCCCAACCTTTTTCTTATAAGGAAAGGATGGGAGGTGGAAGGGGACTTTTCGGATGAGAGGATGCATGGAAAGGGAAAATATTTTTTTTCTGTGCATCCTCTCCTCCGTCGATTAAAGGTAGGCAACGCTTATGCAATTGCGTAAGTCTATGGGCAACGGTCACTTCGCTATTTCAGCGATTTCAGGTAGCCGCTCGCTCATTTGCCACCTTATGATATAAAATAAAATGCCGAATTTCATCAAGATCAATTGAGCCGTTCCGGAGATACCTTTAAAGAAAAATCTATCCATCTAAACATTCGCATTTATGATATTAGTAAGATGAGTAGATAAAGATTACACAATCAGTCGTTTTGTGTAATTTAGAATATAATTTATTGCAATAAATAATTAAACGCCAATTTAACATTTACGGTCAGTGCGAATTGTTTGATTTTCATCAAGCGATCGACTGATTCCGCTTAATTGATTGGCTAGTTATTATTATTGACTTTGATTGTTTGCCACAGTTCAAGATTTGTCGATACAATAGCCTAGTGTTTGTTTATTAAAGCTCAATGGAAGACAAAATGGATCATCGAATCAGATAATTATTAGCTGTCGCCCACGACTCCGTTCGCGCGGAATTTTAAAAATACTGAATAAGTAGCCTATGTGTTTATCCAAACTATGTTCTACATTTACGCCAAATTTCAGTGAGATCGGTTGAGAATTTCTAGAGACCTTCAAACAAATATCCATCTTAACATTCGCATTTAAAATATTAATAAGAAGTAAGATTAATACTATAACCACATAGAAGACAGGCGTTTAGTGAAAGTAATTCCGAGTTTTGTGTGAACCGTGTGTTCTGGAGGACAATTAAAGTATACTTCCTCTTGCACCATTTCTTCTAAGATAATGATTTGAAGGGGTTAGTTTTGACAAGGCAGAGAACATATAGAGGTATGGGAAATATTCGCTCTCTGGGAGACCCTTCGTCTGTAGACGTCGGTTGGCAACACCACACAGAGAAGACTATAAACAAGAGTTTTTGCAGGATGGCGTAATACATAAATTTGTAGTCTCTGCTTATTCTATGAGTTACGATGGTTATTTTCTGTATAAATTAATAACAGTGTTTTATAAAGTGTGTATTATATTTTTATATGTGTCTGGTTCATTCAATTTCATATAAAAACATACATGTCGGTAAAAAAAAACGGTAAATCTGCCCCGCGTTATGTTTGTAAAATGCGTGGACTCATTAGCTTAGGGCCACCGTTATGTTTTCTCCGCCACTCGGTGACCCAGATTGTAAAACGACCCAGATAAAATTACGACTATACGATATACTTAATTTTTAAAACCGTTTTATCAACCCCTGTTTATTTAAATTTGGGTTGTTAGCAAAAAGTCTTATAATAAATTTAAATAATGAAAATAATTCAGATTTAAGTGTAGAATTTAAAAAACCTTTATAATATCTGTTATATTTATTACAGACATGTTGAATGATGTTTGACGTATTCAACCTCTTTGGTAGCTAAGGAGTTTATGCACTGCCAAAGAAGTACTGGCCACTGAGAAAGGTGCACATTGCATGTTCATGAAAAATATAAGTTAATTAAGATAATTACGCGAGAAACGGAGTAAGATGCAATTTAAAAGTCGTATTTTTAATTTGCAATGAAAAACGTAAATAATATGTTTTTAGTGACATACATTTTTGGCTGCCGAGCTGTTTGTAATCTTACTAATATTATAAATGCGAATGTTTAGATAGATTGATGTTTGTCAGAATGTATATCAAGAATAGTTGCGTGGATTTTGCTGAAATTTGGCATAGTCTGGAAGAACACACATGCTACTTTAGATTTTTTTTTCGTCCAGACGGAGTCGCAGGCGACCTGTATTGTTTAAATAAATACAAAATAGCTTTCAATGTCATTTATTTGTGTAAACATATCAATAAGGGATATTGTACAGTCGTTGTATTTATCGTAGCATTGTTCAACGTTGAAACCAGATTTGTATGCGTCAATATAAGGAGTTGCTTCAGGTGATGTAGTACCATCATCATTGGTGTCATTCTCTGGACTGAAAATAATAATATTTATAGTAATATCAAATATTAAATTTAGGATATTGATTTTGCAACTAATATACTAATATTAGTTGCAAAATCAATATCTGGAGGAAGAAGACTGTTTAAGAATTTAGACAGGATGAAACAGGAGCTTACAAGCTACAACCTAGCTATGGATCTTTGATACTAATATTATAAAGAGGAAATATTTGGTTGTTTGCATTGAATAAGCTTCTAAACTATTGAACTGATTTGATAGATTCTTTCACTATTGGGAAGTTACACTATTCTCGGGTTACAAAGTTTATATTTATTACTGGATTTTTTTTATTCCACGCGGATAACATCGCCAGCCTGTCATAGATAAAAATTATGGGAAATCAATTAAATTTCCATGTATTGTGACTTAGTTGAAATGACTCATTGATTGCGAAGAAGTATCGCCAATTTGTTAACTTTTATGGTTGTTGATTTTAATAAACTTTATAGAAACTCACTTAAGGATAAATGTAGCTATCTCATGGAGTAGATCTTCTTCATCATCAACATGCAATGGTTCAGCAGCGAGCTGGCACAGAGTTCGTAACACGCAAGATGATCCGTTGTAACCAAAGCTGGAAATTTGGTAAAGCAATTTTAAGTTCGATTCCCTGGATTTGTTGAGAGAAGGTTCTCCATTAATCTGTTTTTATGCTTGTTACCTCATGCTTAATCTAATGGAATATACAATATTTGTCATGCTATTGAAAGCAATGAGGATGAGAGGATGCATGGAAAGTGAAAATATTTTTTTTCTGTGCATCCTCTCCTCCGTCGATTAAAGGTAGGCAACGCTTATGCAATTGCGTAAGTCAATGGGCAACGGTCACTTCGCTATTTCAGCGATTTCAGGTGGCCGCTCGCTCGTTTCCCACCTTATGATATAAAAAAGGCAAAAAAAAGATAATCTAATAAGACTGTAAATATTAATCTTATTTATTAAGCATTAACGAAGATTTTTTCAACTTTACAATCTTACTTCTTGTCTTACTAGTATTATAAATGCGAAAGTTACGATTGATGTTTGCTAGAAGGTAATCCGGTACGGCTCAATGTTGATGAAATTTGGCAGATTAAGTTTTTTTTTTTAATTCTGACGGAGTCGCAGGTGACTTCTAGTACTTGATTATTATAATACCATAATAGGAAGAATAAATATTTTTTTAAAGATAATTTACCCATTTAATACATCTTCAACGTATTTATAAAAGTGATATAATTTAGCATCATTCTGATAATTTTCTGACAAAGTATCATGATTAGATTTTTCATCATTTAAATCTCGTTTTCTTCTCGAGAATCCTGGATAACCAGATTCCGCTTCTAATATGTCTAAAGGTATTTGAGATCTGTTCCATGGTAACTGGAAATTTGCTTGAAATGCCCAATTGAAATTTATCGTTTTTATTGGTGTTGGTGTACCTACTCCAGCATTAAACTGTAATTAAAAAAATGTACATTTATTAAGATTATATCACTGAAATACCTGAACAAATATCTTTGTCAGGAGTTCGGAGAAGTCCTCAGTAATGTGCATTTTGTTATTTTACAGTTCCTTTAATATGACTAAATAAAATAAAGTTATATAAAAACGGCTAAAACCCTGACGTTTATTCGTCCGGTGGCGGCACCGACTAGTTTCGAGCCAATCGGGAGCGTGAGCGACGGGCCGCGTCCGCGAAATAATACCGGTCCCACTCACCCTGATGAACGGCCCCCGATGGGAAACTAGTCGGTGTCCCCAACGGACGAATATAAGTGTATGTTTTAGCCGTTTTTATATTAATTTATACTAATGTCTCATGAAAGTTTGAATAATAAATAGTGAAAATATTTTGGATTCTTAACTTCTGAATGTATACACCATATGTGGGAACAAAAACTCTTAAATCGTCCAAACAATAGCTGTGACCTATTTGAATAGTACAAAAACCCTTTTTCCTATTAGAGTTCCGAGGCTTTTATAGAAACAGCACGAAGTTTATGTGTTAGATGTCTACGTAATCGGACTATTACAGGACATTAAAGAATCCCTCGGGATTGTTTTAGGCGCTATTACCATAATAAGAGGTTTCCAGAGAAATTTATTTCGTGATAAGACCAGTCCGAGAAAATTTACGAGATAAGAGGGAAAGGATATAAAAATGTTTAGCGGATACACATGGATTTTTACTATCTTTAAAAGTACAATTCTTTTTGTTTGTGTGATGTTTATTATAAAAAATGTCTATGACGTCATAGTACTTAATATTCAGTTGTGCGATTTTATAAATATTTTGATTATAAATTTACTTTTTTATGCATTGTATAAATTCAAATATTTAGATGGATGGATGGATATTTGAAGGTATCTCTGGAACGGCTTAAAGGATCTTGCTGAAATTTAGCACAGATGTAGAACATAATCTGGAAGAACACATACACTTATTTTTAAATCCCGTGCAGACGGAGTCGCGGGTAATAGCTAGTACATAATACGACTGTTTACTAAGTTAAGTCTATAACATTAATTACATAGTCATAAAATACTGTGAATTCAAATACTTACTTGAAAAAGGGTTGAATTAGGGAACAACAGTTGTCTTCTACTTCGTTGTAAAACATCACTGGCTATGTCAGATTCACTAGAGTTGATCTTTGGTAGAATACAGAGTAAGATGATCAGAAATTTCGTACACATGTTATTAAACCAACGTTCATGTAAAGAGTGAATAATGGAATGGCCTTTGACTGCTTCAATTACGTGTGAAAGCAATAGAATACAGTTTAAAGTCAAATTGCGAATAAATTTTGTTCCGGAATTTGTTGTAGTTTTTTTTTGTTAATCAAAATTAATTTAAAGGCATTTTATTTATAAAAATTAGGTATATTAGGTACATAAAATGTGAAATGTTTTTTTAAGAATCAAAATTAAATCTATAAAACGTAATTAATTTACAGTTTAGTAATTTAAGCCAATGCGTAATTACTTGTTCAAATTATTTTATCTATATCATTATTATTTCTAAAACATTTCGTAAATAAATAATCTAAATTAAATATGAAACATAATTTTTTCGCATTTTTATTTATTAAGGATAGCAATATTTTCATTACACGGAATAAGGATATTTTCCTAAGCGACTAAATGTTTCTTGAAAGACGTTTATTGTAGAACAAACAAATAAGCTGTTGTCGGAATAGTCATGTGACTGCGATTTAGAAAAGAAACACAAGTACACAATTGAGCGAAATAAAACTAAAAACTGCATTTTAATGGAAACAATATTAAGACAAGATAAACTTTTTAATATTCCTTTATTCATAATGAAAAGTTAATTTAACATTTAAATATATTAATTATATTTTGGTTATATAATAAACATAAATTATGATGTAGAAATTAATATAATCGTTTAATCTTATTTCGATGTTTTTGATTATAATAAGAAATACGAAAGTTTATTAAGTTTAAATCACAATTTTGAAAATTTTTGTTTCAATATCAATAGATGCCATCATTGTAGCCTCAGTCTGTTTTTTTAATTAAGGGTAGGTTAATTTATCTTATATTTAACAGTGGTAGAGCCCGCTTTAACATCATCGCACAAATTGGCCGGTGAAATACCACGACCACACAGAAGATAGGCGTAAGATGGAAGCAATTCCGCGTTTTGTCTGATTAATGTCCGTACAGGAGGCCTAATTTAGTTCTCTTTCCCTTCCCGCCCTTTTGCTTATAAGGAAAGGAAGGGAAGTGGAAGTGAACTTTCCGGATGAGGGGACGCATGGAAATATTTTCTTTCTGTGCATACTCTCCTCCGTCGATTAAAGGTAGGCAACGCATATGCAATTGCGTATGTCTATGGGCAACGGTTACTTCGCTATTTCAGCGATTTCAGGTGGCCGCTCGCTCGTTTGCCACATTGTGATATAAAAAAAAAACTTAAAATAAATACTGTGAACACATCTTTACATTCAATGTAGAACAACAGTCATGTTATGTGCTGACTAACCACAGAAAACGAGTTAGACGATGTTAAGTTTGTCTCCTTTGATCTGAATTTAAACAGATATTATTCTGTTCCTGCTGACCAATGTCAAATATTATACAGTCGTTCCTCTTATATTCTCTATACAGTGATAGTATTATTATGTCAGTAGAAATTATTGTTCAAAAATAGTGGAGAAATATAGTACGCCATAAAGTGATCAGGGATAAAACGCTGCCGGAAAATATTGGAAAGAGGTACATGAAGGATGCTTTGGTGACTAAGACCGAGACTAACGAAGACCCCACACTGCCAAGGATTTGGAGAATGCCTACTTACAGTATGTGGATACATTCTGGCTAATGTGGCAGACAAAATGATTTGCAGGTGAAACAAAAATTTGAGAAGTTATAAAAATATAACAAAGTAAGTAATTCGTAATAATTATTTATTAATAGAATATTAACATATCATACTAATATTATAAATGTGAATGTTTAGATGGATGGATGTTTGTTTGAAGGTATCTCCGGAACGGTAGCATAGATCTTGATGAAATTTGGCACAGATGTAGAACACAGTCCGGAAGAACACATTGGGTACTTATTAAGTCCTCGCGGACGGTGTCGCGGGCAACAGATAGTAACTATATATTAAGGAATATAATTATAAAAGTTAGTCAGTAAATGTAGATACATCCAATAGCGACAAAGGGCAAGATGCGATGGACAATTTACAATCTTGTACAGATTTATTGTGCCATTTGTCTGTTGTTGCTGATTTTTTCCTGAAATTAATAAATTTATTTAATTTTTATTTCTCGATAATAATTAATTAGAAATATAAGGTTAATGATTACTTACTTAAATAATATTTTTAATATCTTTTGATAGATTCCTTTCGGTTTTGTTATGTTTTCCATGTCACATATCGCTCGGCGTACGCAGTGAAATCCTTCAAAACCATTTCTGAAAATTAAAATAATTGTATTTTATTAAATTGTCGTTACAATTGTAAATGAATGATGCCACTATTTTTTGGAAAACCTTTCAAATCTTACTAATATCATAAATGCAAATGTTTAGATAGAGAGGTGGATAAATGGATGTTGGTTTGAAGATCTTCAGAACGGAGAATCTCGTTGAAATTTGACGTTCATATAGAAAATTTTCTAGAAGAATACTTATCCTACTCATTGTAATTGTTTAATTCCGCGCGGAGTCGCGGGCGAACGATTGTATTACATATTTACAAATATACGATAAAGATTACTTTCTCAATCGTCTGTCGAGGTTAAAATATTTAACCTCAAGCATTCATTTGTCGGTAACCTTTATATAATAACATAGTTAATGGAAAAGCTAAACAAAAAATAAATAACCTATTTAATAATGTTTCCAGATTATTGTAAACGGTTCTCCTGTGCAGATGATGATACGGATGGAAGGAATCAGGCGGTTCGTCCCAAGATACTTTGAAACCCACTGCGTGCGCGAAGTACTGGTTCCAAGGTACCATATTGTCTCGAAAGTTGAAACGAACCTGGAAAATAGTAAAGCAATAATGAGTACAAAACGGAGGCCAAGAAATACTACAATCATCTTACATATAAAATTCTAATGTCACAATTTTCGTTCCCATACTCGTCGGAAACGGCTTGACCGATTCACATGAAATTTTGTGAGTTTTTTTTTATATCAAAAGGTGGCAAACGAGCGAGCAGCCACCTGAAATCGCTGAAAGAGCAAAGTGACCGTTGCCGACCGATGTGAAGTAGTATATACGTAAATGAAGTACATTTTTATGAATCGTTGAAGATAAAATGATGCTTTCAACCGATGACTCTGGTATATTGTATCATAGAGTCATCTATCCATTTGTTTTGCTACTGTGCCTATTTGTTTTATAATCTAAAGTTTTATGGTATTCGATTCGTATTTTCAGACAGATTATAGGGATACATTTGGTTAGGTTAGGTATTTTAAATTAACTGTTACTTGTGTCCTAAGTAATCGTGGGTTTTAAATGTTTAACACATGTATAGAAAGATATTTTCATCCTTATCTTTGAGAATGCCGCAATATTTTTTTGCGTATATTGTTTGAAATCATCGTCATGCATATCTCCGAAGAAATTCAAATATATGTGTGAAGTCAACCCGCACTGGGCTAGCGTTGACTATGGCCTAGTCACCACTAAGGATAGTTTCCGAGTTCCTCATTGGGGACGAATAGTGAGTGAGATGACTAAAGTAAAAACATATGGATACTTACAAAGAAATGTGATATATTACTAAAGCTTAGATATCTTTTATATCTATGACTTGTTAATTTTCTCTCATTGTTTGCTTCACTGTATTCAAAAGACATAAATAATACTAAAGAAGTATAGCAAACAAATATTATCTTGAATAATCTTCTCATTATATTTTTATATTTCTTTTTGGATTCTCATAAATATTTATTAAGTTTTAACTTTTAATTTCTCATTTGTTTAATGCCTTAAATTCGGTCATTTAAGTTTTCGTCCTAAAATAGAAGATATTAATTATTATGAGTAACTAAGTTTAATTACAGAAATTTTCTTATTTTTTTTTAGAAACAAAAATTAAAGGCGAAGTTTTGTAATCATTTATAATATCAATACAATAATTTAATTCATTAATATACAGCGTGTCTCAAAATTAAACGATAAAACTGTATTGGTATATAGCCGAAAATTTTTGAACACTCAATAAAATTCAGAATATATAAGCAAAATAATTACTGTTGGTTCTTAATAATTAGGTTCTAAGAATTTTCGTAAGATTTATCATAGGATTGTACCATTTTAGAATCTTGATGAGTTGCGCGTACTTTTGTAATTTAGTACTGTGGTACTCTTCATACATTTTTTTAAACAGTAGTATGTCAAAGATAGTCAAAAGTTATTTTTTGTGCCCTAATTACGAATGATTTGGTCCAATTTTTTACTTCAATTAATAGCTATGTTACTTAGATAGCTAACACAAAAAAATTGCAGGAATGTCTTCATATTTGTAGCCACAGTATAAAATCATATGGTGGAGGGTATCAAATTATGCAAAAAGTTACAAAAGTTAATGTAACTTTTAAACAAAAAGAGTTTGATTTCTTTTTAGTATTTTCCCCCGTGTAGTTATCGATATGGCTATACACAATTACAGTTTTATCGTTAAATTTTGGGACACGCTGTATACATACATTTTTTAGTATAAAGAACATTGAAAAAAGTTACATTAAAAATAGTTATCAAATTAGGTTAATTTAAAGCAGAGAAGGCTGATTTAAAAGGCATTAATTTTACTAATAGTCTATTTAGTTCAGGATATATCTATCCGAGTTTAAGTTACTTACCTTTAAATGTATTTCGTCAATAACTCAAACAATGATATGAAATTCTATGCTTTCTACTTAAAAAAAAAACAAGCATTAAATTAAAAAAACACTTTCATTGTAAAATCAAAAAATCTTAAAACTTGATTCTATTTTATTAAATTATTACAAAACACTTATTTTTAACAAAGGACTAATTCTCATACACTTATATTTTTATAAATAGAGAAAATTTAGCACCAAATAAGGAGTCTTTAAACTCTAGTTTGTAGTATGATACAAGATATGTCAAAAACGTGATCTACAAAAAATCACAACTAACGGTTTCAATATACTAATTGTATATTTAATCGTACACTTATCAGTATTGCTCCACTTTGACTGGGTTTCCGGTGATAGCGTATTTAATTTATATACAGGTTGTTATAAAATTATTCAAATTTTCATGAGACATAATAAACTTAAATAAAAACGGCTAAAACACATATGTTCGTCCGGTCACCTTCACCTCCAATTTATAAAAGTGTTATAAAAGTGTCTAGTATAGAATAATTTGTGAATTAAAATCAAAGAAATTGTATGATAGCATTTAATATAATGAACGTCGGTGGCTTAGGGGTCAATTACTTGACTTGCAATCTGCAGGACCTGAGTTCGAATACCGCCATATACCAATGTGTTTATCAATTTACATATATACATTTATCCGACGTCCTTACGGTGAAGGAAAACATCGTAATGCAACCTGCACATATCTGACAAGAAATTCAATGATAGGTGTGAAGTCAACCAACCCGCACTGGGCCAGCGTGCTTGACTATGGCCTAGTCACCCGTGACTTTGGGTAGGCTCCGAGCCCCTTACTAGGGACGTATAGTACGCTAATGATTTTTTTTTATATCATAAGGTGGCAAACGAGCGAGCGGCCACCTGAAATCGCTGAAATAGCGAAGTGACCGTTGCCCATAGACACACACAACTGCATATGCGTTGCCTACCTTTAATCGACGGAGGAGAGGATGCACAGAAAGAAAACATTTTCCCTTTCCATGCATCCTCTCATCCGGAAAGTCCACTTCCACTTCCCATCCTTTCCTTATAAGAAAAAGGGTAACAAGGGAAAGAGGACTAAATTAGGCCTCCGGGACACACACTCATCAGACGAAATGCGGAATTGCTTCCACTTCACGCCTGTCTTCTGTGTGGTCGTGGTATTTCACTGGGCGAGCCGGGCCAATTCGTGCGAAGATGTTAAAGCGGGCTCTACCACTGTTAAAACTTATGATTGATGATGATGATGATTATTTAATTAACCGATAACGAATTAACCAGCGTAATACGTAAAGGCTTAATAACATCAGAATGCATTTTGCAGTACGACTAAGACGCTCGCTTTAAAGCAAGCTTGTATAATTACAACAAGTAATGAAGTTTCAGTCTGTCTGAGTGTAGTTAAAGTTTTGTTTGAGCTGGATTTAGTCGAAGGTAGTTACGAAATACGGTAAATACATCATCAAAGCAATCTAAATGTAGAGACAAGAATATTAGACATTAATAGAGATAGGAGATTGGAATATGCAGCGTCGATGTTTTTGTTACAGTAATTACTCGAATACTTTTAGAAGGACAATTAATATATTATTAAAAAAGAAAAAAAAAACTATGTTAATGCATATTTAATCCTACTTACTATTATAAATGCGAATGTATGGATAGATTGTTTAAAGGTATCTCCAGAACGGTTGGATGGATCTGGCTGAAATTTATCATAGATGTAGAACATAATGTAGAAGAACACATAGGCTAATCATTAAGTTATTTTAATACCGTGCAGACAGAGTCGCAGGCGCCAGCTAGTTTCTTTATAAAACACTAGGTATGTTATTTTAAGTGGAATTAAGGTTTTTAGTTATTAGTTTTCTTAATAGACTGCATAGTGTTTTGGCTTTGGCTCATACGCTTAAAGATACATTTTTCCGATTATTTAAATCATACTGTAGAAGGTTACGGACCTGTAGTTGACATAGTCTGATTTTTGTGATGTACTTTTTGAAATTTTCGTATACAATGAGATAATCACGATTTTCAAATATACGTGATCGTGTTTAACGCGTTTGAATTACATTCAGCACTCGACCGATAATCTATATTTGTAATAGTTACAATGAACTTTAAAGTATCTTGAGCGTCGGTGGTATAGGGGTTACTTGACTTGTAATCTGCAGGTCTTAGGTTCGAATCCCGCCATGTACCAATGTGTATTTTGATTTACGTATGTACATTTATCTAACGTTCTTACGGTGAAGGAATACATCGTATTGCAACATGCACATAAGAAGAAATACAAATATATACGTGAAGTCAAGAAAGCGGCATTAGGCTCACGTGGTTGACTATGTTCTAGTCACCCCTAATTAAGGGTAGGTATCGAGCCCCCTCAGTGTGGACTTTAGTAAACAGATGATGTTAATTATTTAAACTTAGGTGCTACAAGAATATACCTACACGAGTTATGATACTAAACTTAAAAATAATGTAAGTATATAGTACTATTCCATGACATCAGTTACTACTAGAGCATTTTCATGACGATATTTTGACAGGGAGTCATGTATTCTTCTAAAAAGAACGCATTCTTTTGCTAACTTAAATTACAGAAGTCAGTGAATAAAATGCCATATAAATTCTTATATATTTAATTTTGTGTACAAATCAATAAGGGGAATGGAGCAATCGTATTTATTGAAGCATTGTTGAACGTTTTCGGCTTTGAGCGCATCGATGTAGAGCGTCGCTTCCGGGACCACGGAACCGTCGTCATGGCGATCGTTTTCAGGGCTGAAAATGAAAAATATTTACATAACTGTGGGAAGTTAATTAAATGTTTAATGTTTTTTGGACTTTGTTTCACCAAACAAATCACAAAGGGTGATTCGATGTGAGTCTGGGGTACGATTTTTTTTAATTACAAAATTTATGGTAGATACAGATTTTTGTACAAATTAGATACTTGGCTTTGTATGTTTATGACTTCCTTTGTGACTATTTTAACAGCTCATTCTATTGTTTAGTGACGTCATTCAAGTACTGTTACCAACATTTTAATATCCAATAAACTACTAGAACATTGATCACAAAATTCATGTTTCAATTGTTTCGTGACTTACTTGAGAACGAATGATGCTATTTCATGTAGGACATCTTCGTCATCGTCAACATGAAGTGGTTCAGCAGCCAGATGACAGAGAGTCCTTAAAACGCATGATGTACCGTTGTGCCCGTAACTGGAAATTGGGATATAAAATTTCGTTAATGGAACAACTAAGTTAAGCATTTTAAGGTTTATACTACATGCACATTTTTGTACAGAATCATATTCACATCTATTACCCTATGTAGGGTCGGCACATTACTATTTTTTACATATGCATGTCTATCACATATCACGTCTGAAATTATAAAAAAATATTTCTGTATAGACATCGACACCTGTAAATATTACTAAAATTGGAATTTTAAAAATTTTGTCTGTATGTACAGACATACGCACAGGCGTAAGTCCACCTTTGTTCCGGATAATCTCCGGAACGGCTGGACTGATTTTACCAGGACTTAAAAGGGAAGTTGGCTGATGCACGCGAGCATGTTATAGGCTACTTTATTCTACTTCTGCGCCGACGAAGTCGCTGACGACAGCTTATATTACTTTACTTGTTCGCGAGTGATAAATAACTTTGTACTCTATATCTGTCGTCTTCTAGACTAGGTTTTACATCTATGCCAAATTTCAGCAAGGTTAAGACAGACGATCTGGAGATACCTTACAAGAAACATCCATCTATCCATCTTAATATTTGCATTTGTAATATTTTATTAGTAAGAATTTTGATTACCCATTTAAAACATCTTCTATATATTTGTAGAAGTGATATAATTTAGCATCGTTTTGATAATATTGTTTCTGTTGAGCTGCTGGTTCGTTTAATTCTCTTTTCCTTCTTGATACTCCCGTATATGTAGCATCAGTTTCTAATATGTCAAATGGTATTTGAGATCTGTTCCAAGGAAGCTGGAAATTAGCTTGTATAGCCCAATTAACGTTAATCAGTTTTGCCGGTGATGGTGTTCCCAAGCCAACGGTTAACTGAAATACAAAGATTTTGAGTACACACAATATCAAATGAAGTGAAGTGAAGGACTAGGCATCATCCGATTTCTATGCAGTCGTGAGAGACGCGCTGGAGCGTAGTCGGTGGAGGCGAATCGTTTACTCCAGAACTAACCCTGATGCTCACCATAATTCTCAGTCATGAGGGACCGACTCCAGAGAGAGATTATTAACCCACTAAACATCATCAACCTCTCCTTATCCCAATGGATGGATGGATTGGATCAGTTTTATCTGAAATACTAATAAAGAAAGCTATTCCATCTATGAGAGCCTTAGTCAGTCGGTTTTTTAAATAAAGTTTAAGTTTATTATGTTAGAAAATTATTACATGCTAGAAAATTGAGAAGGCCGTCATGGTAAGCGAAGTAAAAGAAAATAACCGCTGATAATATTTGCAACTAATGTAAGAGTTGTCGATGCGGTACATTTCTTTATTGGAAAGGGGAGAGTATAAATTGAAAAATGACGTATTCATCCTTCCCTTCAGAGAACGGTGGGAAGAGATTACGTCCTAATATATCTAATAAGTAGAATATTAATTTGAAAATAGAAAATATCTTGCAATAGATAGCCAAATGAAATATATAAATGTATTTAGTTTGAAATGAAATATGTATATACAAACTCAATTAAATAAAGCTGATGGCAAATAAAGCTTTTCGTTTGGATTTAATCAAACGCTTCGATGCCTTCAGTAATAGAATGACTGATGTTTTGAACTGTAATACTCATTCAAGTAAAATATTCTATAGTTTATTATTTTAGTTTAGGTTTAAAATAATCTTAAATCCTTTTATTTATTGAGTACTTAGCAGTGGGAATTAATCAATGATTAACGTAACGTAAGTTAAACTTTACTTTTACAAAAGGATGATTCAACAACAGCTTACTATATGTCTCCACTGAGGGACTCAGACCCTATCCTGAGTTAAAGGTGACTAAGCTATAGTCAACCAACGCTGGACAAGCGTGGGTTGACTTCACACATATCTTTGAATTTCTTTGCAGAACCGTAACAACGTCGGATACTTATGTAAATCTAAAATCGGAAACACATCCGTACATGGCGGGATTCGAACCCAGGACCTGCAGATTACAAGTCAAGTGCTTTAACTAGATGACTAAATTATAAATTTCTTTATCCTAGTGTTAACCAATCATCAAGTTAATTAGAGTTTAGTTAGAGTTAGTTACATTTAAATACTTTACCTGGTAGAGAGTTGAATTAGGGAACAACAGTTGTCTTCTACTTCTTTGTAAGACATCGCTTTCTACGTCTGAACCACTAGAGCTGATCTTTAATACAAAATTACAAAGAACGATGACAAAGAAATATTTTCTATACATGTTATTAAACCACTGTTCAAGTATTGAGTGGCTTATAGAATAGAAATTGACAGTTCCAATTACGTATTACGATAGATATTAAATGTGTCATAAAATTTTGATTAGTATTTATTTACAATAATTATACAATTAAATTATTTCTTTATATTAACGCAATAATAAAAGTTAAGTTTGATTCAATTTATATAATAGATATCCTCATTCAGACTAATCGAAATTACACAACGATTTAAAGAACATTTTTATGTTTCAATTGTAAAATACAAAAATATAATATAGCATTTTATGTTAAATTAGTAAATGCAAAATACAATATTATTTTTAAATTATTATAATATTTGAAGTAAGAAATAATGTGGAAACACAGAGTATAAAATAAGTGTTTTTTTTTAAATGAGTGAGGAATATGTCTTTGATACACGGAATAAGAGTAAACTTATAAACCATTTTCATGTTACGTTTCGTGACGTGTCTATTGGATAAACAAATTAGTGCAGTGATGGATAGAATCATGTGACTACGGAGATTTATGAAGTTAACGCGTGTTCACACTACAGAGCGAGAATAGATATTATTGGTGAATACATATGTTTGTTATCTTTGATTTCAATATAACTTTAGAAGATTGAATTATTAAAGAGAGATATAATTAATATTATAAACGCTAAATGTTTCGATGAATGGATAGATGGCATAGATGTGGAACACATACTGGAGGAAAAGGAATAGGCTATTAATTAAGTTTTTTTAATTCATCGTGGACGGAGTCACGTGCGACACATTGTATATCTATAAAAAAACTTAACAAGCATTCTTTCGTCGATATCCTGATTGTTGTTGAGGTATTAAAAATTCTCGTGTCACAATTTTCGTTCCCATACTCCTCCGAAACGGCTTGACCGATTCTCATGAAATTTTGTGAGCATATTGAGCAGGTCTGAGAATCGGCCAACATATATTTTTAATCCCCCCGGATGGAGTCGTGGGCAACAGCTAGTACTTTATGACTTAAAACCTTGTTAATAGTTTTGAATTTGGAATCTAGATAAAAATAAAAAATGAACTCTTCAAAGTGTGAAAAATATGAACCGTGTGAACACGTCTTAATACTTAAAGTAGAACGGACGGGTTGTGAGTGCCGGAACTTACAGAAAACTTCACGGTCTGACGCGCGGTGTGAGCTTATGTGACTTAAAATATGGCGCGTTTTATATATATCTATGTAAAATACATACATATGTAAGCATTTTTAGAAATCTGTGTTATGGATATTTAAAGATAAAGAAAAAATGAAAACAAGGTAATAAACAAATTGAACAGAATATTTTTTTAACAGAGTTTAAAAAGGAAGAAGTTCGCAATTCGTCTGCTTTTTTCACTGTTTATTTGAACTGGCCATATTTTATAGAAATATTTATTAACTTCTTAAAAACTTGTAATTACTTTAGAAATATTTTCTCGTTTACAGGTTAGAAATATGCGTATTTTTTGCTTATTGTATTTTAATACGAGTTGTTATTACGGATACTTTAGAAGATTTCAGAACTAGAAGGCAGATTAACAGTATCCCTTTGGTTTTTCCCTATGGAGGTACATACAAGGTAATTGACCATTTTTTAACTAGCTATTATAAAAATTTGATCTGAATATTTTCAAATTAGGACTATTTTTTTCTCAGTTTCTATGGAAATTTTGGAATATACACAGAATTATTTTAATTTAATATCCAAAGTTTTTCTTTATATTGAGATGTAATATATGTATTGTTTTTTAATATCTTTTAAGGTTAAACATTTTTTTTCTTAAAAAAAATCATAATTTCTTACCAGATTTTACATTTTATTTGCATCGGATGAGAAGCAAATAATAGAAAAATTTAATAACATTCTTTTCATAGGTAAAAAGCAACTAAAATTGCAAATAGTTTTAGAGTTCATTTTAAAAATTATATCTTTTTATTTTCGACTATTAAACTACTTCTATTTTAACTAAATTTCAGTTACTTATTGGCATGGCAGTACCAATACATAACGAAGATCATGTAAATTTAGCTTTTGGCATTAATTTTCAATACCAGTACATACAATTTCAAAATGTATCCGAACTGTCTCGTTACTACTTCATCAAGACGGTGTCTAGAGAGCAACGGGATCTAGAACTGAAGGAGCGAAGTGACGAAAGACTTGTCTTCTACAAAGCGGCTGCAGATATGCTACAAATGTAAGAAAATAACCCATTAGTGCATAAAGAACGATAAATCGGACGCCAATAAAATTGTTATTTTAAGAGTTATGTATCTTTTACTAACCGTTTATTTTTTTTAAACAGTAGTGTAATTTATATTTGAAGTGGTACTAGTGTTGGTATGACATTCCGGGAAGCGATTTATCGGACGGGCTATAAAATCTAAACTTTCATATTGATTAATAATTTAATGGTCAAATACACTCGAAATGAAAATATATAACAGTGATTATAATGAAAAAGGCGTTAATAAACTTTATGCACTAATGGGTTAAAATAATTAATACTCATAGTCATTTAAGTGGAGTTAGATAGACCTTAGTAATATAGTGTATAGTTCTGTCAAATCTATAGTCACATTGCAACAACCCTATCTAAACAATTTACCTTTACAAGACTGTAATCATAGAATTAATAAAATCTAGCTATTGCCTGCTTAATAGCCTTTAGTTTTAGTAATAGTAGGCTTTGAGTTCTTCCAGACGATGTTGTATATTTATGCTAATACAAAAGAAAGTCGTGTTAGTTACACTATTTATAACTCAAGGACGGCTTTACCGATATGGCTGAAAACTGTTGAGGATGTAGCTTAGAGCCAGGAGACGGACATAGGATACTATTTATTCTTTTTTTTGCGAATGTTTAGATGGATATGATGTGGATGGATGGATGGGTGGGCTGCACTAATTATTTTTTTATATACCGAACGGAGTCGCGGGCGACAGCTAGTTTATGCTAAATTTCATTGAGCTTCTTCAACCAAACGTTTATACTTCCATCTATCCATCCATACATTCGCATTTATAATACTAGTTAGATGTTTGTATTATCAATTAAAACATAAATCCATAGACAACAAATAACATATAATTTCTGATTTCCATAGAATGCTAAGATTCTGTGCCAGTGATTTTTTATTTTTTCTAACTATTAATTAATATTTTTTTTTCTAGGAAGGGTATGAACGGCATTGATTGCGTGATGCGTGCTATTTGCGAAGCCGCACAGTATCCAGTTAGTGAAGAGGGTCTTGTCGGAGAAATAATACATATTTTACTCACGTACGTATATCTTAGTGATTATTCATACATCCATTCATTACTTTTTTTATATTATAAGGCGGCAAACGAGCGAATGGCCACCTGAAATCGCTGAAATAGCGAAGTGACCGTTGCCCATGGACATACGCAATTGCATATGCGTTGCCTTCCTTTAATCAACGGAGGAGAGGATGCACAGAAAGAATATATCCTACCTTCCCATGCATCCTCTCATCTGAAAAGTCTACTTCCAATTCCCATGCTTTCCTTAAGAAAAAGGGTGGGAAGGGAAAGAGGACTAAATGTAGCCTCCGGGACGCACCACACTCATCAGACGAAACGCGGTATTGCTTCCACTTGACGCCTGTGTTCTGTGTGGTCGTGGCATTTCACCGGGCGAGTCGGGCCTATTTGTGCGAAGATGTTAAAGCGGGCTCTACCACTTTAAATTATTCATATCATTCATTCACTTAATAAAACAAATTACAATCGTTTGAATATATACAATATTGTAAAGTGAATGATCGATTTAGTATCCTTTTTTTACTTTATTTTAAAGTCGAAATCAATGGATATGAGAAATTATAGTCACAGATATTAGTGGCTGACAATGTTATTTACTTTTAACTAGCTGTAGCCCGCGACTTTGTCTGCGCTTTATTACAAAAAAAATAGTAAGTAGCCTATGTTCTTCCAGACTATGTCTACATCTATACGAAACAGAGAGATCGTTTAGCTGTTCTGGAGATACCTAATAACAAACATCCATCCATCCATCTGAACATTCGCATTTATAATGTTAGCGAAAAGTAAGATGGATTTATTTAGGAAAGTTTTTTTGTTTCAAGTTACATTATACAAACATGCCTATTTTTAATAAGTCGCTAATATAATCTGTTTTATCATTTCTTATTTCCATTGAATTCGGTCATACTTTATTTTTTTGTACCTTTGAGTCCAAGATTATATGCGAAAGAAATCTATGGCATTATACAGATCTAGAATGGAGAAACAGGTCAATGAATCGTTATAAAATAAGTAAATTTAAATAAAATCAATGTTTATTTAAACAAAGTTATAAATGAAGAATGAAGTCAAACGAAATGCAGGAATTCTAAATAAAACTTGACTTTTAATAAAAAACGAAATAAGCGCAGTTCAAACAAGCTCGAAGAGAAATTCCAGTTGCGTATTTTTCGAAAGCATAGCTAATTGCACCACTCTAGTGGAACAGTGGCGCCGTCTACCATCCTTCATAATACCAGGCCCAAACTTTAATCCCGTAAATGCAGGATGAAAAGTTTTTTGCTTAAAAACTTCAGTTCTTTGTAATCTTTCCCCTGAATACAATGTTTTGTGAATATAAATTGCACATTTAATTAAAAAAAATATTATGTAAGATAATTCGTCTAGTATTTTAAAGGTTTTATAAACTCATGTCCATTCTTGATGTCGAAAGATTTTTGCCTATTTTTATGAAGAAAATTAAAAAAGTACACTTCCGTACACACCACTTATTGTATTGTTAACATGACATTTATCTAGTACTTAACTAAAGACTGGTTTCTAAGACCAAAATCTTTATAAAACATATAGAGATCCCTGTCATTATCTTTGACAAAATAGACATAACAATTTGTTTTAAAATAAGAATTTAGTCTCAGAAACCTACGCTAAATAAATTATTATACAACTTATAGAGTAATAAAACAATAGATTAACAGCATTTGTATAATAATTTCAGACCAGATTACGGGCGTTCTCCATTCGAAGTCGATACGGAATGGTACGACATGATGTCACCGTACATAGACGCGGCGGTTGCCGGTCGTCAGATGTTTAACTGCGCTTCCATATATTCCAACTGCCCCGAGGGTCAAGGTGTTTTGGAACTGATATCAATACTAAGGGATGAATAAAGGTTTTTGAAAGAAATGTTTATTGCTTTATCTTTTATTTCCTAATCTTATTTAATACATAACTTCTATGTGTTTTTTTTTATAACAGAAGGGGGCAAACGAGCAGCGGGAACACCGAGGTGTTCAACGATGCTCATGGACATCAGCCATACCAGAGGAATCGCAGATGCGTGATGATTTAAGGAAAACAATTCAACCTATTGTGTTACTCATGTTTAAAAATGTAGTAAATTCATTGTGGCTGTTCAAAACTCCTTGCTCACTTGCATATTTGTATTGCATCTGCAATTCTTCTCTCCTCATAACATTCGAATATGGAGGTTCTCAAAGACCTACAACGCGTTTGCGGGGTTAAACAAGAAGCATTCGCTACAAAACGATTCCATAACGAACGTCAAAAATTTATAAAACTGACAATAACGTTCGCTAAGTCACGTGATTGTCTCGCGTTTGTTCCATACATTTTTGAAGTTCGCTATGGAATCGCTTCGGAGTTAATGCACTTTGTCTAACCTCGCTGCAGGTCCTCTGGTATTGCTGATGTCCATGGGCCATGAACCCGGTGTTCCCGCTGGTCGTTTGCCTCCTTATTTTATAAAAAAAATATAATGCTATGATTTACTTTAAGTAAACGTTGGGTACATAAATGTTACAAAACAAACTTGGTTACTTTACATGCGAGATGCTTACGACTCATAGGTAAAATAACGCGTGCCCATAAAAGATAAAAGATACAGTTTGTGTACTGCTTGTATCTTGAGATAAAGTGAGTCTTCATACTTAATACGGGTCACGCACTGACAATTTTTTGTAAGATATTTACACAGACTTTGCGCGAGTGTGTAGGCTTTAGCTCGCTCTATGGACGTAAATAGGGATAACGCGATAAAGTTTAAGAATATCTTATGTGATACATAACTATTTTATAACATGTTATATATTTTTAAATAATAATTTTAGATTAAATTTTATTAAATCTAAATTTAAATAAAAAGTTACTAGCTGCAGTACACATTTATGTAAATATTAGAAAGTTAATTGTGTCAATTAATTTTTTTCGAATTAATCCTAATTCCTACTCATAAAGATATAAATTTGATTCCTTACTTTGATTTCTTATGGGTTTCTAGTTTAGTGTATCTTGGATCAACTTTGTTCTTTAGGTTCTTTGTACACAAAGTAACGCAAATCTCCAAAGCCCGCGATTTAAGTCGCCAAACAGTTCATTCAATAAAAAAGGTGTTCCCGTTGCTCGTTTGCCCCCTTCTGTTATAAAAAAAAGCCAAAGTTCGAAACCTGCTTGTGAAGATCTTCGTGGAAAAATCAGGCTGCGATTTTCAAGATGGCACAAATCTATACAGTTGGAATGTAGTCGCTATACTTGTATCGTCAGAATAGACAACTCGCGTCGACGATTCAACGCACGGAGCGCGCTATCCTCTTGCAAGGATACTTCTCGAAGATTTACGTTGCCTTCTGTATGAAGAAACTAACGCAGTCCACATATTATTTTTGTTTTAAATCAAAATATGTATTTTAAACAATTATAAATTGTTTATTTTTTTTAAATAAAACTAATTTTACAAAATTATTTATGAATTTTTAGTCGGTATACGTTGATACTTCCAGCATTGAAAATGGACATGAAGCGATAGATGTTGTACAGTCTTGTTCAGTTTTATTGTGCCATTTGTCTGTATCTGATGATTGTCTCCTAAAAAAAAACTGCAGTAAGTAAATATGTTGAATAGTAAATGTAATAAAATCAGTACATTTAAATATCATGTACTGATGTATGGATGGATGGATATTTGATAGAATGTATCCCCAGACCGGCTGCATGGATATGGCTGAAATTTACCATAGATGTAGAAGATAGTCTGAAAGAACTCGTAGCCTAATTCATTTGTTTGTATTTAATTGTAAATGCGCGTGGACGGAGTCGCGGGAAACAACTAGTTAATCCATAAAATTTCCCAATTATTATATTTTCTGAAAAATGCGAACATAACATACACTTGCATTTTGATTTAATTTATAATCTAGTCTCAAATATTAATTAACGAGAGAGATAATATTCTCTTGACATTTAACTAACTCTTTCAAATTAAAGTTTTACGTTTACAAGATATGAAATAAAATACCTAAAAACCATTTTTAAAATCTTCCAGTAGATTCCTTTCGGTTGAGAAATCCTGTCCATCTCACAAATTGCACGACGTACGCATTGGAAACCTTCCAGACCGTTCCTAAAAGAAATTTGTATTTCAGTTTTAACTTATATGCGTACACATTACTTATATAAAATGCATCTCTGAGATAAAAAAGAAATAGAAGTAATAAAATCTTGTAATAAGAGTTGTACGTGTATTCATTTATTATCTACAGCATTAAAAAAGTTAATGCGTAGTTTTCCCCGAAAAGTATTGACGTACCTAAACTGCGTATTATAATGAAAACCTGGTGATTGCAACAACATACTAACTTTAATTCACAGAGAAGGGACGTACAGAAAAAGGATATTTCCCCTTCCTACATGTCTCATCCTCCTTCTTAAAAGAAAATGCTGGAATGGCAAAGAGGACTAGATTTAGGATATCAGGACACACTACCGGACGAAATGCAGAATTAATTCCATTTGATGCCCGTCTTATACACCAGTCGAGATGATCATTTAAGAAGGAGTTAATTGGTGATGAGACTATTGCTGTTAAGTTCTTAATACTTTTAAGGGGTTACCTATCTAACAATGTCTCCAAATGGGTATAAGTCGTTCGTCTGTACAGATGATGATATGGATGAAAGGAATCTGGTGGATCATCCCAATTCACTCTGAAGCCCAACGCCTGCGCAAATATTTGGTTCCAAGGTACCATATTGGCTTTGAAATTAAAACGAATCTGTAACAAATTACATTGTTTTGAAACATCTTTAAAAATGAAAGATGGACGGTAAATACCTGTTAGTAGAATTAATAATACTATTATTTGTCATATTACAACATAAAGAACATAATAATACTTTAATTAATAACTAATAAGAAGTAAAATTAGCTATCTACCAAAGATTTTGTTGTCATTACTTATAAAAAAAGTTCTTAAAAAAAATTGTCTCTTAGCATCAGCCTAAAATCTTACAAAAGTGAATTAATGGATTGTAAAAAAAAACACGAAAGTAGTAAGATAGTGTCTAAAACTTAGAAAGTTTAAAATACTTACAAAAAATCGTGAAATATTCCTGAACCTTAAATATCTTTTAAATCTATGATTTGGTTTAGCCTCATTATTAGCTTCACTGTAGTCAAAAGTTACAAATAATACTAAACAAACGTAACATACAAAGATAATCTGGCAGATTCTCTTCATTATCTTTTTAAATTATATGTTACAGCATTTATCTTGTCAAAATCTTCTTTCTTCTAATAATCTTCGCATTTCTTCATAAAAATCTTTTTAATTTATGAAAATAACACTGTTTAGAAAATAAAATTTAATTCCAACACTTATCCAAATGCACTTTGGTTTTTTTTTGTCTTTTATTTTGACGTAGTTGTTCTTCTGTTGGTATTTCCTACTAATATGAAAACGTTACTTTAACTAGAGTAAAAATATTTGTAGCAAATAAACGATAATTCTTCGCTGACCTTAAATAAACACTAAGACAAATTATCTGGTCATATGACTTGAGAAAACGAAATGCCTTCGAACCGGATCTGTGTTACAAGAACAATGGTAACATTAACTGGAAGTGACTAAGACTTTGACAAGCGCGTGTGTATTATAAAGTGCTTTGACCGAGTGCATGCTACACTTTGTAGTTTCGGGTCACGTAAGGTAAACTAAACAGTATTGGGAATGAAATGCATACACGAGTTAAACAATGCTAAAAGTAAGGTAGGTATAATTAAATAAGATTGAAAAATACATTGAACTGACCATAAATATGTTACGATTGTTATATTATTATGTACATCTTACTATTATTATAAATGCGAATATTTAGATGGATGGATGTTTTATTAAAGGTATATCCAGTACGGCTATGAATATTGCTGAAATTTGGCATACATATAGAACAAAATTTGGAAGAACACATAGGCTACTGATTATGTTATTTTAATTCCGCGCAAACGGAGTCGCGGGCGACACTTAGTCACATATATAAAAATTTCGTGTCATAATGTATGTTCAAACTCCGAAAATACTAAAACAATTATCAAATTTGTAAGCATGTGTAATTTCATCCAACTTGAGAGATAGGGTAATTTTAATCTAATTATTGTTTTTTTTAATTTATTTTAAACGGAGTTGCAGGCTACAGTTAATACGTTAAAAATATTACTTGCCTGTACCAATTGGTAAACACACAATATAAAAACCTCATTTCAAAACAATTCTATGCATAATAATTCATAACATAATAGAAATATACAGTTGAAAATTGTATTTTGTCATAAGATTATTTGCTGATATAAAAGACTTCAAGGGAAAGACAAACGGAAAAAGTAAAACGATGCAACGGTGAATGTATGTAGGTTTTGTTGAATATCTATTTATCGGGATTAGTGTTATTTGCTTAAACTGGTTTAAAACTGTATTAGGGTGTCAGTATACAGGATGTTTAATTATTAATACTGCAATATAAAAAAAATAATAATATATATTCAAATTAGTAGCTTAACTAAGCTACGAATAGTCAAAGCAACAAATAACTGAAGCTACAAATAGGCAAAGCTACAATTTTTATATTGCATTTGAGCGACTATTTCTTTGTTCAATTATTATTTGAGGTTAAGATTATTTAAATAACCACTGTACATAAGAACTATATAGTATATTTCAAATGAAGCCAAAGCAATTCAAATGTGTTTAGATAAGAAAATCTATTTAAGCGTTGTGAACAAAATTTTTTAATAAAAAATATTTCTGTCACTATTTTTAAATTTTAAGAAGATAAGAATATAATATCATGCTGTATACTCTAACGGTGGATGAGATCTATTTGAAAATCGTGATTAACTTATCAAAAATGCAAAACGCGACGGATAATCGATACATGGCTTAGTGTATTTTTAATCTTAGTACAACTGAAATACGTATGCATAGAACTTGAGAAAGTTACAGTGAAAATTGTTTTTTTTTTACAAATATGAAACAAAAGATTAATTTACTGTTTGTATTGTTTATTGTTTTTGTGAACGCAGAGGACCAGGCAAATAGAACCAGTGAATTTGAAACGAACGATAGGTCTATAGTGTTGTCAAGGAGGAAACGGTTTATTGTTTTTCCCGAAGGAAGCTCTTTACAAGTTGGTAAGGAAATTTACTAATACAAATCTTTTTTTGATAGTCAAAATGGTTTTTATTAAAAATACTGGCCATTTGTAACAATTTGAAAAGTGTAACTACAAAGTCCTTTTTTTGTATCGGGGAGAAATCTTAGTAAGATACCTTTTCGGGGAAAGACATGGTTATCTGAGATTCTTGCTCACTAAAACCCCCTCGGTGGCCAACCTTAATTGCGACTGCGTGGGTTCCGGGTTTTCCAAAGGAACGCTCCGGAACCTTTTGCATTGGGCTTCTGCTCGACTCCAGGAAAATACTTCCTCGTGCCCTCGCAAGAACTACAAAGTCCTAGTGTTTAGTTTTTGCTAACCTTCTTAGTAAAATGATTTTAATATCATTAAATAAAGCTTATAAGTAAATCAGAGAGACTTAAATAAACATGACCTACTAAGGAACTTACTTTGTAGCGACCTTTACAGTTTTTATTATACATTATTTAACTTTTAATGCATTTTCTTTAATAGTAAACATCTTAGTAAATTTGTGACATTTCTATTGTGAGGCAAGATTTTTTTTTAGTAATCTTTCTTATTATTTTTGCAAAGATAATTTTTAGACAGGAATTTTTGAAAATAATTCGGTAGTAAAATGACTTTCGGTAGTAAAGGTTGTGACTTTTTTTTTCAGTATTCTGCGTCACTTATCCAATGTTGACAACAATTGGTGATATATTCCTGTTTGGTAACACCGCTGCTTTGGCATTCGAGCTGCCTCAAGATCCATACTCACCGTTCAACCATCATGCTGATCCACTGCATAGAAGAATGGACTCTAAAACTATATACTTTACTGACTATGATGGAAAAATCATACATAAAGCTCCGTATAAAAGGTAAGCAATGTA